AAAACTTTCTGCAATATCAGAGCATTCCATACAGATTGTAAGGAGACATACAAAATTGGAGCCTTTTATTATTAGTGATGTGAGCTAGATGACAGGGGAAGGCTCAAACTGTCTTAAATCTCTCCTGAAAAATTTCGCAGATTTCGCATTCAGAGGTATAGTCTCCCTTCAGATTCAGCATTTCTTGTCTTTGAAAAGCTGCACAGAGCTCATCCATTTTTAAATCTTGTTAGCAGATTAGTGGGTAAATTACTTATCAACCTGGATGTTTCCCTCGACTTCCCTCCTCACGTAGATGTGATTCAAGGTCAAGCTCTTACCTTCATGTGGAAAGTTGCAACCATCCTGGAAACAGGCTCCCATACTTCCAACTCTTCCCTCCTACAGTGTGATGAAATACTTGTGCTGTAGTTCCTTTCTCATAGATAAAACTTTAGACTAAAAAAATCCTCAATTACCATCAACAAATTTATTTCAAGTTACCTTTGCATCCATTTCTACACCTTCTCTATCCTTGGTTCTTCCTGTGCCTCTCCCACTAAATCCTTTTCAGTCCCTAATACGCCTTTACCTTCATGGTCTTTCCATAGTGTTTCCACATATCCCACTACTATTGACTTCTACTGAACTCTTTTCCCACTACACACACAAACAAAAAGTATTTTCTGCCAGTACATTCTTCCTTCATCTATCCCCGTTTCCTCAGTCTGTCATCATTAAAAGCTTTTAAGTCCAGGCACATCCATCTGTGAAGTCTACTGCAGTGTCTCACCCTTTGTGTGTCCTCCAACTCTCCTGCAGAAAATATGATTTATTATAATAGGAATATTACATTATCAGTTAAATATAGATGAGTTTATGCCAGCTGAGGGTTGACTAGATATAAATGTAAGAATTACTGCATTACATTTGTGTATTCTAGTTGCAGATCTGTTTGTCTAAAAATACAAAGAGGAGAAATTTGTGTACACCAACCTTTGCAGAAATAAACATTTAAAATATCATATTCAAGATTATCTTTTACCTGCCAAATGAGTAACAATTCCTCTTTCTCCAGCAGTATTTTGATGCCAGAATTTAAGAAAAATTAGCTAGCTTATTTAAATAAATCTTATCACACTGAATGACTTAAAAGCACAGCACAGTATGTAGGTATTCTGTTCTGTGCACCTCATCACACCATTATCCTAATGCTTCATTAAATCTTTAATTGCCAATCTGTACTCAGAGGGTGCTTTCTTCTCCCATTGCTCAGGATAAGAAAATACTCTGCAGCAGGCATGGTCTCACATGGGGTCTCTACTAAGTCTGTTGCCTCAGCAGTACCTTAACTTCTGAGAGCAGTTATAGAAACCAGCAACTCATTTGATCAGAGATCTGACAGCGGCATAACCTGTTTCAAGTCTCTTTTCACAGTCTCATCTTGAACAGTGACCTGCATTATCGTCCTGGGTCACCCAGGCAGCAGGGCCTCAGTGCTGCTTTTTGTGCGCTCCTCTGTGGGCTGGTAGCTTGCTGCCAAGCTCATGAATTTCACAACCAATTGTACAATTGTCTGCGTTACACAAACTTTTCCCTGCACCGTTGGTAGGTCTTTCTGGGGGATTTGAAGGAGGGAAGGAGAGGTACCTCCCAACTTTAAAAATAAAATAAAATTTGGAACTTTGCTGATCTTAAACCTACAGTTCTGATGACTACTAAGAATTAAAAGCTGGGTTTTTTTCAGGGAGACATTCAAACTGCTTCAATTATGAAAAGACCGTGACAAGCAAGCAAAAATACCCCAAAACGTAAGACAAACTTAGCTCCATACTGAACCAACACACAAATGCATAGCAAAACAACACATCTGGACAGTGTTTCCTCAATTTCCTCTTACCTTAGGCTTTGCTGGTGCCTTTGCTCCCTGCAGTTGGAAACACCATACAATTTAATATTTCTTATTTTCTTGAAAGACCTCCAATTATCCCTCCCACTTGTTTCAACCAAATAAACCAAGAGCTCATTGTTCTTTTATGTGCCATAGGTACAATTAACTGAATTGCAAGGAATGGGAGAAAAACATTAAAAGAAGGTAGAAAGTCAAGGTGTTCTTTCAAGTGAATTTCCTGTTGCAGAGAAAGTAGGCAGGTTCACTGAATGAGATTTAAGTTTCTCAGTCACAATCTTACTCCTAGGTATAAAGACACTGAAACACTCCATCATGGTGTAATGCTGTGGAAAAGTTGTGTTTAACAGGAACATCTTCAGTCCCCCTATGAGGACTTGAACACCACTGAGACAATTTGGCACAGAGAAAACTAACTAGAACTTGAAAGAAAGTTAAGCAGTGAAGTGTTTAAAACACAGCTTGTGTGGGAACACTTCAGTATGTTTTTAATCTAATGTAAAACTTAATCATATTTCATTGACTTGTCATTTAATCAGCATGAGAATAAAAATGACGCAACTCATCAATATGATGCTCCAAAGACTGTTATTCTCATAAATAAACTAGTAACTGAGTAACTTCTTCAGATAAGTAACATTAAGAATAGAAAAACCACTGGCCATGGGATCAGCTGAGTAAGTCTAGTGAATAACAGCAATGACCTGGGGCAAGGGAACAGCCTACGCACTGAACACAACTAACCTTCAAAGCTTTGCAAAATCTACTGCTTATTTAAAGAAAGGGTGAAACAGGGAACTTTTTCACTGGAAAGCAAGTTAACTCTAAGACTGTAAACTGATGTAAGGTCAAGAGTGAAATCATAATGTTAAGTGAAAAGCAGAAGAGAGATATGAGATAAATGGTGAAAAAAAACCAAACCAAAACAAAAAACCAACCCAAAGCAGACCAAATTAGGAGTTCAACTGGACTATGTGAATGTACTTAATTTTAATATTTTGCTCAAAAGATTCTTCCAGCATCTGAAAAGCTACACTGAAATATAAATGAAGACCCAACTTCACTGTCTTGCATGTTTAACATCCTTTCTCTTATACAGTTGTGACTTCTCTTCAGTGTTCCACCACTTCATCTACTTCCCAGGACAAGTATTCCTGTCTCCTACACCTTTCCCTTTCAGTTTTCAAAAAAATTCATCAATACTCACTTAGCAACCCAAAGAGCAGATAATGATAGTTATTTATTAACATTTAAAATATGCATAAATTTCAGTAACTAAAAAAATTCTCTGATTTGTTTTGCATGTGGTATTCTTGAAATTAAAGAAGATCAATACAACTGAAAGACCAAGCATCATCATCAAATATGAAGTTGAATGGAATACAGATCAAGTTAATAGCAATTACATTACATTAACTTGAAGAAATTAAATACAGTTTTACACATTTTCTGATGAAGCACCACACCTCACAAGACCCAGTGAAGCATCTCATGAGAACTAAGCTGCAAACCAGTTAAGCAGCTAAAAACAAATTGGCAGCCAATTTAAATTAAAAAAAAAAAAAACCAAAACAACAAAACACAAAAAAAAGATAAGAATTTAGTAGCAATGTTTTCCAGGTAACTAGCAGAAAAGGGATAGATAAAACATCCAATGTATTCCAGTTGTACATCACAAACATCTAAATTTTAATCAATTTAACAATTCTTTATTCCAGGAAAAATATTTCAGTCCTTTCATCCTATATTTTACAAAGCTGCTAATCCAAACTGATGCAAATACCGGTAAGATTCTTGGGTAATATTGAGCAGCTGTATATATTAATGCTTGCAAAATAAAATTTCAGCTTTTTTTTCTTAACAGTAGATATACAATTACAGTAGATAATGAATGATCCACAACCTTTAATCTCATCCCCTTGCTGAAATGTAATAGCTTAGCTCAAACTAAAGCTAAGCCTTTATTTAGTTTGCTCAAATGCTTAGTTTAGAAATTTTTATTCCTGGACTAAGCGTAAAGCCAGGATTTATTTTTTTAACATCTGAAGTTCTTTCAGATGTTTGCAGAACAGGAAAGAAAGGATGCATAAATTCAGATTTCAAGATTAAAGTGTAATGCTTCACATAAGAGGGCACAAATCAAGACAGCTTGTTCATTTGACAGTCCATAAGCTCAACTTAAAATACAGTCATCAATCTAGAGTATCTTGTTTCATTTTACATGAATATCCACTTCATTCTCAAGATGCACGTAAACTTGTGCAGGCAGATAAAAAGTTATGGTATCTCTGAGTGGATGAAATTCAAAGCAACAACAAAAAAATTAAGTTTCTCAAGTGTTACAAACTAATTTCACAGGCAAAGGAAGTTAATTCAGTATGAAGATGACAAGTGTAAATGCACATGGGATATGCAAACAGCTTATAAACTCTCACTGTTAACACTTTGGTTATCACCACCACTAAAATTCAGAAGAACACTTAAAGTGGACCCTTGTATTTTAATTACTGTATGCCCTTGAAAATTCCAATGAAATACTGTCTGTTTCCATCTTCCGAATGAAAATGCTGAAGAGTTAACTTTAAAAAATGGTATACACCACATGAGAGACTGAATTCATCCAGTAATAAAGCAATATTTCTCTATTTACATCGTGGCAAACAAGGTAAGACACACTGAGACACGCTAAACTCAGAAGATTTCTTCATTCCAGAGAAGGAAATAAGTGAAGTCGGGAACTTTTTTGTAGATTGTGAGAACAGCATCCAAAGCCAGGCTTCTCTAACGGGCATCCGAAGGATACAGCTGACAGAAGTAACAGTGGAATTTTCTCAGGAAAGGTAGGGAAGTGGAAAGGAATGGTTACTTAGATGGGAGTAAGAAATTCACTGTCTCTTGAATGTTTGATTAATAGGCTTCTGGAGGAAGATACCTGAAGACCCACCTATTTGCACTCTGCTCGCAGTGTGGCAGAACAGTTTCTTGTGTAACACGTAGGGAAATTGATTGGAGAAGAGGTCCAGCTAGTTATTGACTCCTGTTGGTTGCATTTTCACTTGTGGGGAAGGACAAGGTCAGAAAAGAACAGGTAACACAAACATTATGTATCCTCTTATATTAATAAGCAGCAAGTTTAATTATTAATATTTGGCTTAGAGATCCCTGGACACTGACAGTATCATTAATAAGAATGCTTCAGGATTATTATGAGAGGAGAAAAACTGTTGAAAGCCTGGACTGGATACAAATTTAAATTCTGAACTGAAAGGTTTCAATATTCATCATATTAAAATGCACTTTATTAAAATATATAAAGTAGAACAGACAGTATAGAACAGACGTTTTGAGGAAAACATGTCAGTTGTACACTAATATTTTTATGAGGCCAAACTAATTTACTTAAAATTCCTATGATCTGTAGAGAAATTATTTCTTCTCCCACACTAAACTACAGTGGATTTGTCAGGCTAAGAATAGAACAAATAAGTATGTGAACAGGTTGCTTTTGTGAAAACTTTCAAACATATTTAATAAGACTGAATGGTCAATTCTTGTGCCAAAGAATTCTCTTCTAAGTTACTATACTTTAATGGTAGGGACAAAAAAACCCCCACAAAATTTAAACCTAGGTTTTGCTGCACTTGAGTGGAAAAGAACTGCTCTCAATCTATCAGTAAATTATATGGATCTTCACCTGGCAAAAGGATATAAACAAGACACTGAAAATCCTCCTGTATTTCCTTAAAAAAACTGTAGGAAAAATCAGTACAAATGGCTTTGAAAATACAATTAATCCATTCCTATAGGGTAATTTGTATTTGAATGCCTAGAATTATTAATTTCAAAAACAGCACTGGAGAAAATTCAGACTGTCCCCACTGGATTTTCACTGTACCAAAACCAGCTGAAGTATGTAAACATCTCTCTGGTAAAAGAGTCACCAATAATTTTGAAAAATTAAGGTAGTGGCTACTTACAGAATTCAAAACACTGTTGCTTCAACTCAGTTTCAGCTATAAAAGATGCACTGATTTTTTCTAGAAATTTGCTAGGATGACCCTGCTTGAGCAGGAAGGTTGGACCAAATGACCTCACTTCCAACCTTATCCATTCTGCGATTCTGTGAATATATTTCAAGTGTGTAAATTCTCCTATGAAATAGAAAGCAACTTAAAAATAGAACTTGGACTAAACAGTGAAAAATATTTCAGATGCTTCCTCCTAAGTGCATTACTTGCACTTGACCTCATTATTATCTTTCGTTTGGTGCCACAGGTTTTTCTGGAATAAGAATCATTTTGGCAAGGGGCTGTTGCATCTAAATTTTGCAGACATTGAACTATGAAACTGCCAGAGTGTTAAAAACAAAACAAAAAAACCCAAAAAACACCAACCCCCCCCCCAAAAAAACACCAAAAAACCCCACAAAAACCCCCAAACCAGAATGCAGAGAAGTAAGTATTCCATAAATTAAGCCTAGAATAGCAAAATACATGAAGTAGTAAAATTTGTCTAGTTGTGAATACTGACATTTTTCCAATCTAAGTCCCTCAAAATAAAGCAGTGCCAAAGTTTTCTTCAAGCCAGCAAATTGTACATTCTGCTGTCAGAAAGTCAAATACCAAAAAACCTACATTAAAGATGCTGATGTTACAAAGTCAAGAGATGCTCAAAGGTGAGCAAAGCTCATACAACTTTATTTTGTCCCACTTGTGTTGGTAGGACCAGCCTTTCAGCAACAACTCTCTATGGGAATTCTCAGGTCTCTTCAAAGCGAAATAAGCACTCAAAATGGAAAATACTCAGCATTTCCTCCCTCCTCCTTGTGTCACTAAATGTGTGTGGTAACATTGTATCTCACTTGTACACTACCAAAACCTTAACACTGAAAAATGGAATTGGATTTTTTTTTTTCCCCTGGGGAGCCTTTCCCAGTTTTAAACATTCTGCTGCATCTCTGGCTCATCAACCCACAGGTGTTACAGTGCAGCTAAGTCTATTCAACAGCGGGTATCTCCTTCTGAAAGGACAAATCTCCTTCCTTACCCTCCCACCATCTCCCTTCTGCACATCTAACCTCACAGAGAACTGGCCAATCATTAAGCCAGAAGAAAATGGCTTGAACTGGCTCAGTTTGGATCACAGGAAAACAAACGCTGGCACAAAGGAGGCACCAGGACCAGAAAAGGGGTTCCACTGATTCCTCCATCAGCGAGTTATCAAGCAGCCATTACAACAGCTTCACCGTATTGAAAAATCAGACCAAAAAGGGTATTTCTACATTTATTTAAGATATTAAGCACCATTCCTTTTCTTTCTGGAGGAAAAGAACTTGTGCATTAGGAAGCTGAAGGCTAGAAGTTTCACATGTCCATTAACTAATACAGCACTCCACAGCTGATTTTACAATGTTATATACTATTTTTACAGTACTTTATATGCACATAAAATTCCTTTTAATTTCAGCTGCACATACTAAACTCTCGGCAGTCAGCAAATCGGTCGCAACATGACTAACACCATCAGCAATCAAACTCTTCTATTTGTAGATTTGCTAACAATCCTGGAACAGTGTAAGAACTGTCACAGCTCTCTAAATATGATCACCTCCTTCTTCTCAAAATCCTGTCTAATTTTCCAAGCTTTGAAAGCCTGCAACAGAGTGATGAACCCACTTTCTACCAAACCTGATTCAATCCAAGAGCAACGCTCATGCTATTAGAATAAAAGAGGCATAGGGTAAAGCAGGGAATATTAACAGAGCCTGCAAAAATATGAATACTGCAGTGGAAGCAAACTAAGGTTGCACATGCAATCAGTTCCTGAATGCCTGACTCTAACAGCAGCTTTCTTTTAACTGGAAACTTTTGTGCATTTTCATAAGATATTTTTGTAATAAAGAAGCAAAAACATGCTGACCCCTTGATGGATCATCAGAAGAACTACATTCTTTGGACTCACAACATTGACCTTTGCCACTTCAGCTGATCAATGACAGTTGGAATAATAGGCAGTAACCCATAAATCAGCCAACAGAGGGAAACAAATAGCTATAGACCTGTTAGCAAGAAACAGATATGCATGGAAGCAGCAATTTTTGGACTGAAGTCAAATTTCACAGTAATTGGGCTTGAAACCTTTATCTCCTAGTCTTCTCTTACAATATGCACTTTGCTTATCCTTCCTTTATCCCACTTGCTATTTGTTAAACATCTACATTTAATTGACATTGCTTCTTTACTCCAAAATATAGGAGCAGCTTCCCTTTTGAGCTTCCAGAAAACTGCCAGTAAAAATTAAAATATATATCTGCTATTTTGAAGTCTCAATATTTCAAATAACAAGCAAGAAGTGTGTACTGAACTTTTTGTGTTTGCAAGGTCATAAGAGTGCAAGGGGCTTTAGAAGAGAGGAAGCAAAAGTTAGCAAAATAGTCTGTATTCAAAACAAACCTTTGCTACTTAAGCTCCAGAACTTTTGATTGCCAGAATCTGTAAATTAATGACTTGAAACACAATAAAAACAACTGTGTTGGACAGTAAGACATGAAACACATTCAAATAATATGTGCTATTGCTATTTTAAGCTATAACATATCTGACTTCTACATCGCCGTTCTAAAAAGAGAAAGCTATCCCTGGAGTTTGGTACAGGTTGTTCAGTATTTTGTACAGTCAATACACTTGCTTAACAGTTTTTCAATATTCTCTTCCAGCAGACAATGTGTTGCTGTATGAACTGAAACAGAAGATATATTTTTAGAAGGTAAAAACTTGTGTATAACTGCCCGGTTTAATATGTACTCTCAAATTCTTGTCGCACGGTTCTAACAAAAATCATCTTAACACAGTTATGAATATGTTAACTCCATGGACCAAAGTATTTTTCTCAAAATAGTTTCAAATAGGGGGGAAAAACACCTGGATGTTGGGACAATGAAACAAAAAAAATTTGAGAAACAGAGTATATGCTTGCTAAACAAGAATTATGTTTATTTAGCTAGTGAATCACCTAGAGGAGTAAATTTTCACTTTCATGATAGCAATCTGTCAGGCTTGCAAACACCCAGAAATAGGAATTAAAGATTATTTTAAATGTAGTTATAAAGGTCATAAAAAGTCTGATTTAGACTGAGGTACATTTACTCAAAACTGAGATTCATTGAGTGGTAGCAAACAAACAGTTCCTCAGACAAATGCACTTTTTTCAGTTTACATGTTACAGGAAAAGAAATAAAGAAATGTGCATTAACTGGTGGTGTCCACCAAGCTGCATATTAATATTCTCTTACACCAAACAGTTTGAAACAAGGGAAATGTCATCCTAATATAATTTCATGTTACGATTCATTTGGCTAAACTGCAGCTTAGAGTTGCTTTGCCATATTAAAAGATTACTACAATAATTTTCACATGAACATTTAGACTTGAGTTTTACTCCAGGACTAAATATGGCATGATTTTGCTTTTAATCTGTTGAATAGCTAAAAACTGACAATTAAAAAAACTACAACAAAGAAAAAAATTAAGTTGAAGCAATGTGAATCTCACATCATTGAACCACTTTCTAATGGTTAAATGTTAGTATTTAACAAATTCAAAGAGTTAATGAATCCTTGCATTCGTTCGGTCTCCTGTGCCTTAGCTAGGATGCATAAATACAAAAGACAGCAGATACTGGTAAAAGCTTCAGGACAGAAAGTGCTTGACGAAGGTACAGTTCTCAAGTGTGTTTGGTGAGAGAGTATAAGGGCAGATGCACTGATGAGAACCATTACAAGAAGAGTCAATTTCGTGTTAAAGTGTTCAAAGATGTCACCTTAAGCAGAAAAAAGCTTTAATAACGTCTTCTTAGACATATTAGGCATTTCCAGAGTCTACATCATTAGTGTTGTATTCTAGCAGGACATCTCCATATAGTTATTGTTTGTTTCTATTTCTCTCCTGAAAAAAAACAAAGACAAAAAAGGAAAATCATATTAATGAACACAGATCAACATTATGTGCTTTCTTCTCATTACAGCAGTTTCATTGCTTGCAATTTATCTAAACTGGACAACAAGCTCTCAAGAAAAAAGCTTAAATTATTTTCAGGAACATTAAATTATCCAGTTTAAGTCAACTTCTTAAAAAGAAACACAGAAGTACACATCAACCTAAAAGGTAAGCATGTCCCAAAAAACTGCTATGAAGAAGAAAAGAGTTATAATGTCACGTTTAATTAGTTTACAATAAAATATATTGCACAAAGTCGATTTAGTAAGGAGACCAAGGGACCTACAAACAATGCAAGAAGGTTTCCTAAATCTTCTGCTTGTCAAAAACTGCTCTACTCTCAACACATTATATCCCTGAAAAAATATGGTAATCACAGGTATCTCCTTCAAAGCCCCACATAATAAAATGTTCCAGAGTGCATAACATCACAAGGTAAAGGAACTAGTAAAGGAACTAGTTGGCCCAATATCTTGTTCTCCATCCAAAGGCACAAATGGCAAGAAAAATACTTTTTTTTTAAAAAGGCGATCCATACTTCTTTTAGAAATTACTTTCAATAACAAAAACTGAAAATCAGTGAGATAGGAGTGGCTACAAAAAAACTCTTGAATGCGAGCCTGAGCTGCAGTCCAGACCATACTCACTACAAAGCCCTCATTGCATTGCAAGATGCCACATTTGGCATTAAGGGCTAAAATACTAATTGCATTGTATCTCTGTCAGGGACTAACAAATCTGTACTACATATTACAAGTCTAACAGAATAAATAACACTTTCAGTGTTTTATCATCATCCTCCATTTTCTGTATTTTGTTCCAAGATAAACATTAGGACTTAAACATAAGTCTCATTAGGACTACCTCTAGGAAAAAAATAAAAACTGATCAACAAACTATATCTTGTTGCTTTCATAATGTATCTTCTAGTCTGTAAAAAAATACTATAGCTTGAGTGTAAAAAATCTAAGACCTTATCTTCCAATAGCATTTTCCATAACACTTTTCTTTATATGTACAACTGAGAACTTTATACACATGTATTAATATCTGTATGGGAGAGAGGTAGGTTCCTATTCCCATTTAAAAAAAAATAAAAAATGAGAAAAATACTTCCCCATGTTTTTATTATTGCATCACACAGCATGTTATAAATGGAATATAAATATAGCAGGGAAAATCAAAATAACCCAGAAGGCATTTGAACAATTATTTCAAAACCACTCGATCCGATACCACGTTGAAACTTTATTATGCTAGAAACTATTTAGGGAAAGTGCAAATTAGCTTATGAACCCACAGAGATGCTGCTAAAAAGACACTATAGTGAAAGAAGAGGATACAAAACATTTATAGTGGTTATTACTGGTGATCTAGTCCTCTCCAAGACAGACTAAGTCGCTTCAAGATGAACACCAAAAAAGTAAAGCTCATTCTTGCTCCCAATAAGCAGCTCACGGTCCCAGTAGCTGGGTATCTAAGATTGGACATTTGCTAGGGCAGAACTTCCATACATTTAAAGCGAGAGTGATACTTGCACTGTTTTGCTAGAAATTATTTTTTCCTAATTCCAAAAGACATGACTAATACTTTCACAGTAGGATACTGTTTTTAAAACATAAGATGTATAGTATTAGTCATTAATACAAACTGATAGGTTAACAATGCACTCTAGGCTGAAAACAGATGATCAGTGGCCTCATGCCTCACTATGCATGTAAGGCATGCAGAAATAGCTGCTCATGTACATCTCAGATTATTCCTCTAATATCAGCAGACTTCAACTGCAAGAACGACAGTGTTGAAAAACACTACTGTGGTATTCAGTAGGAGTCTATGAAACTGCAGTGTTAAAATACTGATATTTTATATTAAACAGTTTCAAAATCAACCTGTATACAACTAAAATCATGGGCTCCTGTTCATTTGTAAGTATTACATATGTAACCACTGACTCAAGCTGTCTAGAAAGACACTCTGCATTGCAAACTGCTGCACTGTAAACTGACTGACCTGCTGCTTTGCAAAGCCCCTGAACTCAAAATCCATTTATAAAAATTCAACACAGAAAAGGAATGATATCCTGACTACCTGCTTCCAGTTGATGAAATAAAGGATGTGTTGCAAATTTCATGTTGTTTTTGAATTCTACAGAGGAAAAAGGCTTCAAAACATCAGCACACCTTCCCTGTGATCTCAAAATTACATATTACTACATTTATATTTAAATACTTAAAGCAGGCATGCACATCTGACATTTTTTCAATGCAAGTGAACAATACATTCTTCAAATACTGGTAATCAGTGACATTTGGTATCTGTACAGCAAAATAGAGGGAAAGACGACCTGATTTATTCAAATCCTGGGCAATGGTATTCCACTGAAAAACTAACACCTGTCAAACTCTTAAGTCAGATCACACCCTAAACCCACGGTCTTTTCCTGTCTCAAAAAGCATTTTTCTTCTGCATTTTATACGTGATTATACACAGACTAGCAGAAGACTTTATTCCCGGAAGGTTTCCACCACAAGAGCAGAGGAAGTTTCCAGCGTAACCCCCTGGATTCTCCTACATTTCTCTTTCATCCATTTAATTTTTTTTCTTCTTTGTTCAGATGAGCAAAGCTTTTATCACCTCTCTTGCACTACCCCCGGATGAAAAGCTCCTGTAGATTTAAGTTCCCTGCCACAGGCCAACTTCACTTCAGAACTCACCAGGGTCAGGTTACTCAGCTTTAAGGGGAGTTTACTACCAGGACATGGAAAACAAGTACCATCTGAATTAGAACAATGTGGGAACATATGGGTTAGTTAAACGTACCTGCCGGCTGCAAACCACGTGCTGAGCAGATTTCACACATGTAAATAACTTTCTACACAAACCAGCAAAACCAAGTGAAGGTGAACCTAAAAAAAAAAGCTTAGGCCACAGAAACGTGCATCACTCTAGTGCAAACTATGGAATTAACTTGATCTTATCTGTGAGGCTGACTTACTTCAAAAATTTAGTTCTCTGAATTCAGGGCATTAATCAAATGATCCAATGCTGAAAATAAGCTGCAATGTAATTTATCCTCAGATGTAATGAAATCTCTATGCTAACAAAATTTCAAAAATCAAAGCAACAAAAATGTTTACTGGTCTGATTTGAAAGAAACTACTGAGATGCACACAACATTGACTTTGGGATTTCTTTGTCACACAGAAGGTAAAAAAAAAAGCCTCATTTAAGTAGCCATAATGTAAACATAGCTTAATAAGACCAAGAAGAAACTACTAAAATCCTTGGTTGTTTTTTTTTTTCCAAGATCCCACAAACTGAAGCTCAAGGGAAGATCTGAAAGGGTGACTTTGGATAACTTTTATAGCAGTTGCAAGTGTAAACATTTCAAGGTGCTCATTTTGAAAGCTACCCTGGATTGCAAGGTTGCACAGGCAAATTGCAGAGCTTCCACACAGTACCTCCAGTACCAGCAACTATACTTGCAAAAAACCCCTAGAATTTTGCTAAACCTTTGCCTCTTACTGCAGTGTTTAAAGTGTTCATGCCTGGAGCTGTCTGCTTTGCACCTCTCCCAAGAGGTAGCATTCTTTCAACAACTTCAGAAGTTGCTTTACTGCAAACTGTGATTTAATCTTAAACTTAAAAGCCCTGCTCATCTGCAGTGTAAGCTAACATGTCAGACTGCATTCTGTGAAGTGAGGCGCAGGCACTTATCTCCTCTGCCAACTGTGCTGTGTGGGCAGGAACACCTGGCAGAGGCAGAGCAGAGAGCTGTACAGGTGGTGAGAAGAAGCCACAGCAAAGTTCATGAAATTTCATTTACTAATGGCACCAGTCACAATCTGCAAATTATTTCACCCCAGTGTACCAATATAGCTAGGACAGTATAAACATTGAGTTTAGTGCTTGAGAACCACAATAAAAAAACAGATTACTGAGAAAACTGAAAAATGCCAGGAATTGTTTAGTCCATTAATGACAAGGATATCATTGGTTGTTAACATAAACTAGATTACTGAAATTTTAAAACTGTGTAACATACCAGTCCTTTTTAACTTCTCACTCTTGATTTCCTAACTAGAGAAGGTACATCTCCTGAACACAGAGATTATCTCAGAACTAGATAAAAAAATTTAAATGCATTTCTCTGAGAAGTACTTCTGGGAATTCTGGGAATATAGGAGGGAAGGATCTCTACAATCCTTACACAGACCTAGAAATTTTCCTGTGGAGTTCCCCTCCCTAAACACTCATTATCTTCTATTCCTTAACACAACATGAAAACCACAAGGCACAAATTAAAAATCAAAGTTAACGTACAAAGATGAATGAGGTTTTACAACTTCAGAGTAGCTCTTTCTCCTGGTAAGTCTTAGGAATCATCTGAGACCCTGCTACTGCAGATCGTTTGAACTACAGACATAATATAAGGTTTTCAAGTATATAGATATTAAGAAATTCCAAAAAAGCTACAAGACCTAGACTTCTAATTTATTTATTCTTCCCATTAGTTTTGAAGGCATTTTACTTATTTCAGTCTCTGAAACGTACTTAGCAATAGGAAAACAATGTGTATAAGTTACAGTAAAAAGGTAAATAAATTTAAATTTGAGCAGACTCATGCACTGTTAGTAGAACATGGAGAGACCATATTACTTTATTATGGTAATGAAAAAGGCAATAAGAACATAATCCACATCTGAAATTCCACAGAGTACAAACATTCAGAAGGCAGAGGTGGAGAAAGAAACCCAACTATTTTAAAGACATCATACAATAACACACAACAAGAAAAGGCTCTGCAGAAATCAAGCCATAAAAGCCCTTCCTGTCTTGTTTTCCCAGGCAGATACTTTCAGTGATGGATTGGCCAATTCTAACTACAAGTAGGAAGTGCTTCCTTTCAGTGCTGTACATCATCACACATTGAAATATCAGACTTT